CATACTACTAATAGTATATAATATAGTCGGAGTGCGGGATCTCTGAGATCTTTTCATAATTAACGTAACAATTGCACAATCAACGTAATTCTCTTACGGTTGTTACAACCCATATAACAGAATATTTGATAGTTAAAATCTACGTTCTTTAGACGTGACATAACCTTTCAAAAGGTATGAACTGTCACTATCACCATGTGTATGAGGATCACGTCGGTGATGATTGCCGACTTGAGATAATGATTATGAGCTAAGAGGTCCGAATTAAATATGTCCGAGCTAAGAGGTTCCAGGCTAATTTTTGGTATTTGTAATATTATTAAAAGGATTTGGAGAAAATATATTTAAAAAAAATCTGAAATCTATGCAATGGAGGGAGGGGGGCGAAGTGGAATTTGAGGTTTGAACCCTCGCTCGAGCAAGTTTAGCTGGGACTTAGGAAGTTACCGTGAGAATAACAAGGAAATTTGAGGAAAATTTTGAAACTCAAACAACGCACCTCGGTGATGTCACTGAAAACGGCATCAACGTTTGTGCCCTCAACCCAATCACCAACCCGATTATCAAAAAAACACCAAAGAACAATCCCCTCTCTCTAAAGGAGAGAAGCCCATACAGACCAAAAAACAAGCAGCGAAAACTATCAACCCACCCACCCCAAAAAAATAAAATTGTACTCACTCTTTACGTTACCTTTTGTTTCGGGACCTTTCAGAACCGAATAAACTTTAACCCAAGGCCCAATCCACATAATAAGTCCACTCAAAACTAATAGTTCAATTTTAAAAGATCTAGCAAGTTCAGTCTAAAATGATCCACCTCGGGTCAAGATCATCAATTTCGAGGAGTTGCATCAGTAGAGGAGCATGCGGAGTCATCCAAGAGCCTCATTCACACTGCTAGTTAACACCCACCTCATCCTTTGACCGAATCTCATGGAGAGCACCGTAACTGTCTCGTCCGTTGAAAAGAGATCGTCACTTTCACTAGAATAACCACTTACTTACTAACAACTCGTCCAAATCTGTTATGTGGCAACTATAAATTGTAAATACTGCCAACACTTGGGGGGCATCAGATTCAGTCGAGTACTATTCTTTCATCTCTCTAAACTTGTAACTTTGTGCTTTCTCTACAAACTAAAAGTAATAAAATACCCTACGACTATTGTCATTCAAAGTGGACGTAGACCACGTTGACCGAACCGTTATAAATCTTGTCTTGTTTGTGTCACTCTTAATTACTAAATTTATTACTGTTTATCTGACAAGTGATGTGTAAACTCAATTTGTGCATCATCAATAACATTTATTGTTAATCATATTGTGGTCCTCAAAATTTTATTTTTGTCAATTTAATCTTTAAAATTTACATATTCGACCAATGTGGTCCTCGACACTAACTGCAGTGTAAAAAAAGAGACAGAAAATGTCACGGGCTGGCACATGACGGTAAATGAGGGGCACATGTGCCAGACTTTCACTCCCAGCAAAACAGGCAAAACCAAATCCTAATCTGATTAGGCACATCCAAAACCTATTTGATATTTATATGGAATCCAAAACCTACTTATTCTAGATTAAAACAAGATATTTCAAAATGGAATTACTCATTATGAAGTGCTCAGGTGACAACACCGGTGTTTTTAGGATTCAACTGGAACCCATTCCAAATTCACCAACTCGGATTCAATCCATTGTAGTCCCAATTTGAACTCAAGTAGCAAAACTTTGAAATTAAATTTAATTTTAGCTCAACTCGTATAACTCGAGTTTAACAATCTAAGCACAAATGATACTTAGCTCTGAATGTTGGTTTCAAATTAGAGTTGGGTTCAGTCAGAGCTAACATCTCGCCCACCCATATTGTAATCCTAACTTTGTTATGATACCAGATGAGCATTTAACGACAAGCTTGAATTAATATTTTTCAATTGATACCAATCGCAAAAAAATAAATTCAATCGTACACCAACTGTAAGTAAATTTCACTTTAAAATTAAGAGTATAGACAAAAACACCGTGCCCATGTAAATAATTGCCACTTTCACATTAAGCATCCCAAATTTACTAATTTGGATCCAATCTGAATTTTATTCCAAGTTTGAGCTCAAGTTTCAAAGCTTTGGAATTGAACTGAATTTTACCTTGATCTGTATCACTTGGGTTTAAAATTTAAGTATAAATGATACCCGTTTTGAATATTGGGTTTGAATTAAAGTTGGATGGATTTATATAATTTAGCTTGAGTTCAAGTTAACGTCACAACCCACCCTAATTACACTCCTAGTTTCGTTAAGATACCAATGCAAAATAGCTAATAAAATGAGATTCAACATGTTCAAAACTTATTAAAATGTGATACTATATATATGCTTAATTAAGTGAGTTGACTAGATTAATTAACTTAAATTAAGAGATTTAACTAGAATTAAGAATTCAAACAATTTAATTAAGGAATTTGATTAGATTGATTTCCAATTTCATTCACCAAAACCTTGAAATAAACCCAATTTTACTAGCCTGAGTTAGATTTTGTTCATGTATTGATCTAATCTTAGCATAAAAGTTAGCAGATATATTACATGCTCCATGTTTCAAATTACATGGATTATATATTAAAGGCAATTCAAAAAATTCCTTGAGAAATTAATTCTAGTGCTTTGTGAAATTCTAGAACCTTTTTCATAATCCCTACAATGTTTCAAAGTTCGGTTGGGGCAATTCATGCCTAATGGCACACAATTCATGTCCAGTGTCACACAATTTGTGTTCAATTCACACCAATCAAATCATGCAATTTACTATATAAATAACATTGCAATTTAGGGTCTAGTATATTCTATCTCAAGACATAAGAATTTTCTTTTGTACGACAATAGAACAACAAAATGGAGAATGAAATTGAAAATGAAGTAGAGAATGTGATTGAAGAGGAGAAAGAAGAGGAACATGTTGCATCCTCTGACAGTGAGGAAGAGGAAGACAAAGAGAAAAAGAATGAGAAAGAGGAAGGGAAAGAAAAGGAGGAAGAGAAAGAGGAAGAACAGGAGCATCCTCTTGATTTCAATGGACATTGTCACCTCAGTCCCAAGAAGTCCGGTAAAAAAGTTAAGCAACACCAAGTTGCGACACATCCCGAGTTCAAGTACGTTCGCAAATAGAGCAAAATTGTCCGAACATCGCAAGAGACGCCACCACTAAAACACCTAGTGACTGAGCTCGACAACTAGCCAAGGATCGTCTAATTTTTATCTTTTTCTTAGTGCGTGTTTTTCTATAAATGTTTTTAGTGTGCTTTGTTTTATTTTTATTTTTGCTTTGCTTTAGTTTTAAAATGTAACCTTGGTTATTTGACAAATATTAATCAGAAGTCTAGTTATAATTTATATACATGTGTGTGTTTTAAATTAAGTATATTTTAAAGTTGATGACACATCCAATTTTACACAAATTAAGCAAAATAAGAGAATATCATTGATTTTATAATAATAGTTAGGGATAAAATAAAAAATCAAAAAATTTTCATAGATGACATTTATAAGTAAATATAGATGAGTTGAGAGAAAGAATATAAATTTTACGTGATATAAAAAAATATTAATGCTATTGGAATATAATTTGGGGATATACTGCATTATGACTATTAAATTAATAGTAAAATATATTTAATTTTGAATCAATTAATAATTTAATAACCACAATCATTATATCCTCAAATTATGTCCCTAAAAAAAATTCACGTTAAACTCCTAGGCTAAAAATTTGTTTTGGGTTCATAAGAATAATTTGTTTGATTAGATATGTGCCTAATCACATTAGGAATTGGTTCTTCATTTTTGGTGGGAGTGGAAGTCTTGCACATGTAGGAATCCAAGTGTCTGTAGTATACCCATACCCATATATATCTATAATCGAAAGAAAGACAGCAATCAAAATATTCTCTTTTACCCTTTAGTCTTCTACATGTCTTCAATTATATATTAGTCTTCTTTATTATTTTAGTGTGATGCAACAAAGTTTTCGAAGAACGATCAATCTTGTTTGTGATTGTTAAAACACCCTCTTTCTACAAATTTTGGATTTCTATTTTGGCTAAATCATTCAATATGCACAGAGAAGAGAATAGAAGAGAGAAAAATTGCATCTATCACAAAAGGTCGTTAAGAATCAGGGCTTTAGTACTACACTAATCAGCTTGTTATAGTCTATTAGTGGTCTAAAGTCTAATTCTTCTTGTCCGGTAAACAAGCAAGGGAACCGGCTCCTTTCATTCATTCGTCTCGCCACAACACAAGTTGTGATATAATCTGTCTATACCTCACTCAATTTTTTCAAAAAAGGTAATCTTAAACACACCTTTTTCTTCATTTTTTATTACACCTAGACTATCCTCCACACAATCAGCGCCCTCCACCTAAAAATCCAGTAGTGTTGGGTGTGGGGTTTGGCTTGCTGGACTCACTCTCGTTATGAACTACGATTTAAATCATGATTGATTCAGCTCTTACATTTATATTGCATATACATACTATTTTTATGCGCAAATAATCTTTCTGCTGGTATGCTCGTAGGATAAGACTCCATACATTTAATTCTTCCCAAATTTCGTAATAACGGGAGCCTCGTACACTAAATACGCCTTATATATACTATTTTAATCTTCCACTTCTGGTTTTGCGTTAGGACTTGGGACAACCAAAGCGGAATGGTTTTCTCAGTTTTACGATGGGCAGGGCTTCCCAAAGACATTCTTGACTTAATTTTGGACCATATGATTCAATTTTCTGACTATATTCGATTTTGCTCGGTTTGTATGCCATGGCGTTCGGTTGCATTGGAGGACAATAATTTCCACATCTTCATATTCAAAGGCTGCGTATCCTTAAAGCATGTAGAAGTCGACTCCCTATGCTCATGATCCCTCCTACAAATAACAACAAAGAAAAACAAAGTTTTTATAGTGTCACCGATGGCGTAATTCATGATCTCCAATTGCCAATGTCTTACAATAGGCGTTGTTTTGGTTCTTCATATGGATGGTTATTCACTATGGAAAAACCTATGGTTATAGTTCTCTTAAACCCTTTCAGTGGAAGAACCATACATCTCCCAGAATTAAAAGATCCTGAAAATGTTTACCAATTTTGGGTTGATAAAGATGACCACGAATATTTTGTTTCTAAAGGTATATTATCATCTGATCCTTGTTGGGATGTCGATAATTATGAAGTTATAGTTATTTATAGTGGCCACAGAAAATTGGCATCTTTCAAATCAGGTGATGAAACTTGGCGATTCTTCAACTTGAAAAAAGGTTATTTTTTCTCTGATATTATTTACTATGATGGTCAACCCCATGCTATCAACGATTTCGGGGGTCTTATGCATATTGACACTGTTAGTGGTGCTGGTAAAATGATTATCAAGCCAACTCAGCGTATGGAATGTCAGATGACTTATCTTGTAAAATCATATGAGGGAGATCTATTAATGGTTCAAAAGTTTATGGAAGAAAATGAGCACGAAGACTTGCATTATAAGGTTTCGGACTTCAAGCTTTTTAAGATGGTACATTCAACCAAGATGAGAACACCATCAAGGGTCGAAATCAACAGCATAGGCGATCAAGCCTTATTTTTGGGGAACAATTATTCTCTGACTGTTTCGACATCAGATTTTTCTGGATGTTCATCAAATTGCATCTATTATACCGATCATTATTTGGAATCAGGGTCACTATGTCCCTCATGGTCCTGATGATGACACGGGCATCTTCAACCTAAGGGATAGGAGTTTTGGGTCGCATTACATAGCAGACCGAGAGCACTTGATACCTCCAATTTGGATTGTGCCAAATTTGAAAGATGACACTCAACCAATCTGAGATTCAGAATGGGTCAACATTGTGTTTAGTCATAGCTTACTTTTAATGTTTGATTAATAATTTCTGCTAGTGTATGCTTCATTCACTCATTATATGTAGACTTCCAGTTGCAACAATTACTTTTATAAAATAGAGGGATACAATTTTCTATTGTTTTTATGTGACTGTTGGTCAATTTTCTATTCGAGGTTTCATACAGGAATCCACATTTTTGCTTGTAGATATACATCAAACGAAGATTGCACCATGGAAAAACTACATCTGTATTTTCCATTTCCCGTCTGACAGTAGCACCGAGCACCCAAACACAATCACAGAATTTTATTAGCAAATACAATGCCCATGAGCATTGAAGTTTACTTTAAAATCATGGGTTCAAATCTCGTAGTCTCTCTCCTTGTAATTGTACATTACTAAAAAAAATAATGTTTTAGTACTCTAAACCTATACAAATATGACACTCACATTTTTGCCCTTCCATCTAGCGTCACAAACCAAATTTGTCAACTTCATACATGTTATATTTTTTTGAATATATAATATAAAATTGGACAAGTTTTACTAAGTCCATTCGACAGTCTCAAATAAACTCATCAATGGACATTAACATCCTTCTCAAAACCATTTACATTGTACCGTGCTTTCAAGCACGAATTATCCCTAATATATAATAAAGGAAGCAAAGTATAGATTGTTTAATTAAAGCAGCATTTTTCTTGGCAGTAAACTTTCAGTCTAGTATGTCCAACTTGATGGGTATTTGTAAGTCCACAACGATAATATCTAATTTTATTTATGTTTAATCCAAGCTATAGTTTGAAAAAATTATTTTTAAGTTGTCTTTTATACTAGGACAATGAAAAATTGATGCCAGTTTATTTGTGTAACAATCAGGACTTGTGGTTTCAATCATAAAGGCTATAATCACCGAGGCTGCTTGTTGTAATTTTTTTTTTTGGAACGATTTGGGGAGAGATGACCGATCATTTTTGCTTGGGTACATGAGAGGATTGACGGACACATGACACTTTTCGTCACTTTTTTAGACAGAAGGTAGCACGAAAACACATTTAACTGAATGTATGAACATTAAGAACCAAATTGACGAAATTAAAATTTCGAAAACTAATCTGCGACTAATGTTAAACTTCAAGAACCATTGGTGCAATTTACCCTTCCATTTTTCACCTCATGTACCAGTCGGACGCCAACTTAACCAGCGCCTTTCCTTCTCCTTTTTTTGTGTGTCTATGTCTATACTATGGAATTCGAAACAAGAGTCACATAGAAATCAGTTACAAAAAGTATGGTTAACATAGCATTTAAGAAAGGCCCAATTTTTAAAAGAGGGTCTCTAATTTAGCAAAACTTGCAGAGTTGCACTCCTGAGTTAGCTAAGGCATCAGCACATTGAGTCCCTACGGGGAGACTCCCCTATGCATGATCCGAATACAGCTAAGGGCATCAGCACATTGTCCTCATCAGGGGTTTAAAATTTTCGATTAAAGTTTTGTTTGGGTGATTGTCTTCTTAAATGTTGAAAAGTAGGTTGCACCGGTCGGGTGTCTTCTTGCTCAATAGTTTGCGTTGGAGGCACTAAAGTGAGATCACTCAGGTGTCCTGCAGACAAGGAACAGAATTAGAAGTGGAGGTCAGATTCGTGTCCGACTTATTCCGTTTGATGTCTAAATTAGTAAACGCTCAAATGGAGGATAAAATTTTTCTATGTTCGGATGATATTGATTGCATACCTCTGAAATTTAATTTTTTGGGTTATTTATACCTTCAAATGTATGATGACATGACATCCTAATAGTCCCATCAAGCTGTTGGCAGATCCTCTATAGTATTGGGCTTGGAGAAGGTAAGCAGCTCCTTGAGATCTAGCATCTTAATGATTATCTTCATTAGAAAATACAGTATTTAGTATATGTTTTCTCAGTATTTAATAATTTTTGTCGAGAAATCTGTCAATAAAAATCATATTTTTATTCAAATTTTTTGATATTTAACATATTATTCGATACAACGTACTTGTGCATGTAATCATTTCTTGCAAACTACAGTATATCATATTGTGAGGGCCGTGCCCAACAATGATTGCTTGGAGTTCGGATCACCTACTTCATGACCCAAAGAGACTTGTTCCCTTGGGACCTTTCACCCCTCTTGGTGTAGTGTTGTTCATTTCTTCATGTTACATCTTTATACGAACGTTACTTTGTATCTCAGTATAGATTATTCATTTGAAGAAAATCACATTGACAAAATGAACCACCCTTTCTATCTTTCTCTCCGATTTTTTTTTAGCACATAAGAATTTTAATATAAGAGAAAAATATTTTTTTTTAATCAAGATAGAAGATTTAAATTTTCGTCAACATGTAGTGATATTTGATGGTGTAGTCTATGCGATTAAGCAGAGCTTCTATGTTGATGGGAATTGAACAATCAATTCAGAGATTAATAACAACAAACAAAGATCAGTAGTCTATGTATTTATAGTGATTTATCAGCTCAAAATTTGACTAGTCCACTCTAATAGAGTCTCTTGCTCCTGGGAGAGTTTTCTACTACTTGGAGAGAAGGTTACAAGATTATATCTCTATTAATAGCATATAGTGGGGGTGCGGGATCTCTGCGATTTTCTTATAACTAACGCAAAGATTGCGTCGTCAACTTGATTCCCTCAAAGTTGTTACGATTCATGTGATAAAATATTTGACAATTAAATATTACATTTTTTAGATGTGATGTGACCTTTTAAAAGATATGAGTTATCATTGTTATTATGTGCCTAAGAGTCAAATCGGTGATGATTGTCAACTTGCGCCTCTCAAGCTAATGGTTATGAGTTGAGAGGCCCAAAATTAATATGTCCGAGCTAAGGAGTCTAAACTTAGTCTCGATTAATTTTTGATATTTTCAATTGTGCGTGTTAGATCTTGCATAATATAAAAACGAGAACAGATCTCTCCTTTGGTGAACTCGAGTGAGTCAGTTGAGTGGTCAACCACGCTGCTTGGAACAGCCTGTGAGATCTGGTGGTAACCTGAAACGGTAATGGGAGACCCTCGCGGATCAAAGGAACGATCCAGTAAGGCTGAAGAAAGGTTCCTGGAACAAAGAGAACAAGTTAGAAGGGCGCCGGAGTGTTTTCCGGCGTATCCCCTCCAACGATCAAGTCAGTTTTTGAGAGAGAGAGGAAGAAGAAAACACTGAGTATAATTAGTATAATTTGTAGCAAAAGTTTCACCTCTCGTTCTTGCCTTTAGTGAGGAGTATTTATACCTCAAATACTCATGATTGTTGTCAGTGTGGTCAGTAGGTGATCATTAGATACAGGCAACGTGCGCACTGATTCCTATGAGGAATGTCTTCTCTCTTAACTGCTTGGGACCCCGAACAATCAAGTCTGTGTCATCGGCCTGCCGACGGTTCAATGAGCTCCTCTCGGGAAGGATGCAATAAATGCCCAGCTTTAGAGACATTTATTGCCTTTCACTTATGAGCCTTACCGCATTGAATGCAGTCTTATCAAGAGAATGGTGTAATTAAATGCTTGTTTTCCCAAGTCGCGTGTCAGCAAGGTCATGCGGTCTTTCTGTCTCTGATGTGACACAATATGTCACGCGTCCATTCCTCATTGGCTGTGGCCCCTGCCTTCCTGTGCCTTCTGACATCAATTGTGTAAGACGAGGTCATGATAGCTAACCTAGCCTAGCCTAGGCTAGTGACCAGTGCATCAATAACCTTTGCTGGAGTAGAGAACTTCATCATGGATGAGAGGGGGTACATCTCGGTACCGAGGAAGAGGTACATCTTGAATTTGAGAGGGGGGAGCCTAGCGACTGATGTACCATATCAGACCGATGGTACGTGTCGGTACATAAAACGTACTAGATACCACTCGATCCCATGATAAGTACCTCGGGGTAGAGGGGACTATGACCCCAATGGGTACGTGATCTCGATAAACAAGGATCAGTGACACCGAGGACACGTGTCTACATCTTGGAGTATTCCAGAAATGTCCCATCAACTGCCCCCCAGCCTTCGATCTTCTGACACCGAGGACACGCGTTGTAAGGAGATGAAGGGTTTTGCAACAACCCCAACTGCTTTATCATTGCCCCTAGCCGTTTTCCCTGCTTAGGATGTCGTGCGCATTAAATGCGTCGTTTCGTGCTTCGCGCCCAATGATGGGATAGGTGCTATATATAAAGGGACTTTCTCTCTTCTTTTCTCATTTCATCGTTCTGAATTTTTACTCGCAAAAAGCCTTTGCCTGAATCTTCGCCGGAGACCTCTTTCCTTCCGTTTGTGAACTGCCCAACTTTTTCACTGAAGCTTTAAAGCCAGCAGACCCATCCTTGCTTCTGAACATTCTTGGAAGGAGTCGATTCAAGTTTTCCAGAAAAAAACCTCTTTTTACACTCTGGTGAGTCCTAGTATCTTCCCTTTTTTGCCCTTCTGTCTCTTTTGGTTTTCCGATCACCGGAGGTGTTTTCTGGTTGTCCTTCAGCGACCAATTCTCGGAAAGCCTTCTTGGGGATCTTCGTGGAAAAGACCCCCTCTATTTTTTATCACTTTTTGAAGATGCCTCATTGTCGCCCTGCCCCCGAGAACCCTCAGGCCAGTACTTCGAGGCCAGGGAAGTATAAAGTAAAAGGTGGTGAACAAATTAATAGATTTAGGGTTAAGTACAACGTTCCCTCGAATGTAGACATAGAGGATTATGACCCGGCTGTGCATCCTCGTACCCTCGGTACCGAGGACGCAATGCCTTTCTTTATCAAAGCCATCATAGAAGGTGGGATTAGGTTCCCTTTACCCCCCTGCTTCTCCAGTTCCTCTCTCATTTCCACCTCTT